TAGACACAAAATTATCCATCATTGTTACAAAGATACTCCCAATACTAAATGATCTTTTGCTCCATTATGCAACATTCACTTACCAGCTTGTCTTTTTCAGTCGAGGGTTTGCGCTCAACATCTGCGGGCCTGGGCTCGTCCCGTTTAAGAGCTTCAGAACCAGGTCCACCAGATGCCAGTCTCTCTCGCTCCTCCTCTTCCTCAGTGGGCTGTTCCAGGATGTGCAGGTCATTTTCCATTCCTCCTTCCATTTTTATTACGGCTAACAGAGACAAACGAAACGCATGTTTTGAGAAAAGGGCACGTGTAACTGACCGCCATAGTTCATCATTACCAATGGTTTGGAATGACATGAGGTTGAGCAAATGACAATTTAAATTTTTTAGACATTTAAAACTAGCAAATGAAAAGCATTTCTCTTTACCTGCATTTAAAATCTTGGTGATTTGTGGAGCATGCTCTATCTCCAAAGAGACAGGTTCAAACCAGTTATTGTCCATCAGATACATGTAGACATTCAATCGGTTCTGTAGAGCACTGTGGGCTTCTGCTTTACGCCTCCCAGCCTCATCCGGGTGGTACTTCGAACGAAACCTGACAGGTAGACAGAAAGGAGAAAGAGGGACAATGGGGTGTTTGGGGACGAAAAAACAGCATGTTAGCAACTATTTTTGAGGTCAACCTCACAAACTAGTCACCAAGAGACCTGCTAGTTATATCCTGCCTTCTACATATCTAAAAGTGCTTTGATAAATCTAAAGTAAACCAGCAATTCCATTATCCCACATAATTGACCCACTTTCTGTCACAAGACTTTGTGGCTCTATTCTAAAACTAGTGAGCTGCCTAGACAGGCAGCATAAACATGCTCCCAATGTGAAGGATGTTCCAAAAGGAAAGAAACAATTTTGTTGCCTTCTAAGATGCCTTTTTAAGCTAGATTCTAAGACAGCATTGCATGTATCCTTCCAAGATGATACCTGATGGACCCTTTTCACATATTCAGGGTTATTAGAAGCAGAAGTCGTCAGTTTGGTAAACTTCTATAGTGGTGAACAGAAATTACAACAAATCTATATGTGTGTGTGTGAGAGAAATAGATTAACAACATTGTTAATGTCAAACTCCAATTAAATAAACTGAGTCAAGGGAGTACAAAACTGCTGCATGTGTAGAGCATTCCAAATCATTCACTTCTGACGTTTCATTCCAGTTAATATGCTGTCTTAGAAGGCAGCTGCATGTTTAGGCAGTATTTAGCAAGGCAGCACACTAGGTTTTGAAGAGCTTATGACACCAATTTGTTGGCTAAATTTTTAAGTGCACTTCTGTCAGTCTTACTACACATGCTATAAACAAAACTTGTGTTTAAGTGTGTGTAATACAGTAAGGTAGACTCACCACCAAAGTAGAAACAAAAAATAAGAAGTAAAACAACAATAGAAACTGATGCATTATCAAGAAACGAGAGTCAAAACAGTTGGGTGAAACATTTTCCATTGTGTGCACTAAATTTACCTGATGTACTCCCCGCATTACAACACATTTACACTGAGAGCGGTCTTCTCAGAGGAGTGTGTACATACACACCATTTCTGCGTTTTTGGGGGGGGTTTGATTGATCCAAATATCAAAAATGAAAAAGGGGAAGAAAGGCATCACACACTACAGGAAAAAAAAAAAATCTTTCCGTGAACGCGACGGTAGGTTTGGATTGCGAGTGTTCGACTGTCTAGCTAAAAGCCCTGGTACTTGGATTCTAATGGCAGCTGCATTGTGCGCAGTGCATACCCTGACTAACTAACAGTGACTCCTGCGACGGGTCCAAGAGCTTTTCTCATCTTCCAATACCTTGTGGTGATGGAGGGAAGAAGGATGTGTGTTAATTTGTACACCAATAAACAATATGCAAAAACCTGAAATGAAATGAATGTTAAAAACACAGGAAACAAGTCAATGATGAGACCAATTCAGTCACTTTGGAGACAAACTCATGAGACAGTAGACATTATTTAGAAATAATGCTATCAGGAGCAAATAAAGCACTCAAGATTTAAAGGAATAGTTCATGCAAAAAAGAAAAATTATAAAAATGTCCAATTTTGGATGAACTACAACTTTAAAAGGCTACTTCATGTAACTTCACCCTCAAAACTGACTGTAGTAAGGATATTCAAAGTCATACTCGGAGGTACAAGATAAAATTATGCAGCCAAATCCACATTATTCATCTTAACTCCAGGCCAAATGAATAATTAACAGAATACAGTCGGATGTTCAGAGGCTGATAGGTGCAGAATTTGGCCACTTCTGTGCTTAGATGAGGGACTTGCTGTTCCTAGCTTAATGCACAAACACTATCAAAACAGAACACTAACGCAAAAACAGCAACTGTTATCGTACCACTCTTCATCTTTATGGGCCAGGAAGAAGTCCTGCATCTGCTGACGCCTAAAATCGATCTTGTACTCATTGTAGCGTTTGACCGACTCCGTCTCATCCACAGAGTCGTCCAATGAATGTTAAAAACACAGGAAACAAGTCAATGATGAGACCAATTCAGTCACTTTGGAGACAAACTCATGAGACAGTAGACATTATTTAGAAATAATGCTATCAGGAGCAAATAAAGCACTCAAGATTTAAAGGAATAGTTCATGCAAAAAAGAAAAATTATAAAAATGTCCAATTTTGGATGAACTACAACTTTAAAAGGCTACTTCATGTAACTTCACCCTCAAAACTGACTGTAGTAAGGATATTCAAAGTCATACTCGGAGGTACAAGATAAAATTATGCAGCCAAATCCACATTATTCATCTTAACTCCAGGCCAAATGAATAATTAACAGAATACAGTCGGATGTTCAGAGGCTGATAGGTGCAGAATTTGGCCACTTAGATGAGGGACTTGCTGTTCCTAGCTTAATGCACAAACACTATCAAAACAGAACACTAACGCAAAAACAGCAACTGTTATCGTACCACTCTTCATCTTTATGGGCCAGGAAGAAGTCCTGCATCTGCTGACGCCTAAAATCGATCTTGTACTCATTGTAGCGTTTGACCGACTCCGTCTCATCCACAGAGTCGTCCAGGGACAGCAGGAACTCCTTAAAGGTCTTCATCACAGGAAGGGGAGGACCAAGATCCATATCATGGATGTTTCCCAGCCTGGAGGAAGAGCAGAGAGGTGGTGTTAACAGGTTAAATACAAGGGAATGGTGGACTGTAGAGCTTCCTGCTCACCTGGCCTGGATGGGGATTCCATGATGAGGCTGCATCAGGTGCAAACACTCTTCAGCAATAAAAAAACAATGAAGGTATGGTTGAACTGGATCATCAAAGGTCAGCAGCAAAGACATCAGGTAATAAAATGGGATTAGCTACATTTGTGTTATTTAACATTTAATTATTACAGGTTTGCTTCATATTCTGAGTTTGCATTTCACTGTTTTAATTCATTTTGATGAATACTAAATCTGTTTTTCGTGAGTGGGATGAATTAATGCACATTCACATTTAGTCTAGAACTATTACCCCACTATCTGCAGGCATAATACTTTGTTTGATTTGAAATGTGGTTTGTTGAGCAGATTAATCCCCTCGTTCTCACCGGTCATTCCAGTCATCTCTGCGGCGGTCCTCTCTCTCCCGGGACCGGTCATAGTCGCTCCTCTCCCGGCGGAACTTGTCTCTTCGTCTACGGTCGTACTCATCATCGCTGTCGGCCATTGTGTTTTAATTAGGACGAGTATCAGGAAAGCTTTGCTGTGAAACACAAGAGAGTGGAGATAAATGTGTTTATTAATAATTGCAGATTGTCTCCTGATTCCACAACGCACAAACCACATTCCAATCACAAATTTCGCCGGTAACAATGACTAGTGAGCACACACACACACGTGAGAGAGTATTGTGTTCAAGAAATGTAATGATACAATTATTAATACACGTCTAAACTATAAAAAAGTAACGTTAATACGCAGAGCATCGAAGACAATAGAAGAGGCCATCGAGTCGCTATGCTTATCTCCTGATAAACCAACAAATTAACCAGCAAAACCAGTCTAATGTAAACGATCAAGCACTCTATACCTCCAAAGGACGTGTAATGCAATTCATATTCATAAAGCAATGAACACAAGGTGCGTAACGTTATTCATACGGGTTCCGTCGAGTAACGCAAGGAAAAGTCACTAACCGCAACAAAGACCCACGCGCTCAAACGATCTTGGATTGTTATGACGTATATATAGATGTTAAAAGTGGTGGTAATCCATAATATAATAACCTTATGGCCAATACTAACCAATTACTAGGTTTAAAAAGCTTTAATCCGGTGAACTCCCGCCAGCGCGCGACTGACTGTCCTGACCAACAGCAGCGGAAGTGACGATCATATACAGAACTGCTGCGCCACTGTGTGACCGGATGACCGAAATATCGAGCACTGACAGACAGACAGACAACTGCTGCAATTCTTTTCTTTTCTTTTCTTTTCTTTTTAAATAGTAAATTTACCAGCGATATTTTGGCCAGGCAAGTAATCTTGAAATTAACGATTATGCACTATATGCACAGTATCAAGAAATGTGAAAATCGAAAAAAATAATTAAATAAATAAATTATTAAATGGTGCTGGACTGATGAATTCTAAATGAGAAAAATAAATAAATGGCGCGCTAAATCGGAAACCCCAGGGGTGTATTCCAGAAAGCGGTTTTGTTGGAAACTTCTGGAATACACCCCATGATTTCTGAAGATCATGTGACACTGAAGACTGGCGTAAAGATGCTGAAAATTCAGCTGCGCATCACAGAAATAAATTACGTTCTAAAATATATATTTACATAGAAAACAGTTATTTTAAATTGTATTAATATTTCACAATGTTACTGTTTTTACTGTATTTTTGATCAAATAAATGCAGTCTTGGTGAGCAGAAGAGACTTCTTACAAAAACATTAGAAACTGTTAATTATTCTGAACGCTTGACCGGTTGTGTTGATCCACAGCACGTTTGTGTGTCCTACTGAGATCATCGCCTTCAGTGATCGTGTGCATGAGTTTCAGGCCATCAACGCAGAAGTGGTCGCCTGCTCGGTGGACTCTCAGTTTACTCACCTGGCCTGGTGAGGACACACTGCTTCTTCTGGACTTTGAGATGATTCGTTGTGATATCTTAGAGAAGTGAGGACTATGAATGGACTCACCGCTGGTTTGTTTTTATCAGGATCAACACACCCAGGAAACAAGGAGGTCTCGGACCAATGAAAATCCCTCTTCTTTCTGACCTCACTCATCAGATATCCAAAGACTACGGTGTCTTTCTTGAGGATCAGGGGCACACGCTCCGGTACTGAAACTAGGCCTTTTAAGTTTTTGACCCTGTTGGACCTTAATATTGTAAATGGATTTTACAAATGTATGTATCATGAGTAATCAGAAACTAGATTAACGGCATTCAGTGAAAAATCAGAACCTTGATTTTAAAACTAATGTTTCAGTATTACATGAATGACTTGCCTGCTGAGTTATGTGGCAATGGTTTTATCCTCTGCTGTCTTTTAGAGGTCTCTTCATCATCGATGATAAAGGTGTCCTCCGACAGATCACCATGAATGACCTGCCGGTGGGACGCTCTGTGGACGAGACCCTCAGACTGGTGCAGGCCTTCCAGTACACCGATAAACACGGAGAAGGTACAGCAGTTATTAATCACTGATGACACACTTTTGACATTTTTTTTGTCAAAGTTATCATTTGAATAATACATTAAAGCAGTGTTTACTAGGGCCGCCAATTTTAACACACTGATTTATGAAATTATATGTTTAATCTATTTTAATGCTTAAAATATTTGGATGCAAATACAGAGTTTGAGATTAATCGTGTTCACTAAAGACAGTGGGATTTCGTATCACATTCAGAACAGAGTTGTTACTGTTAACTAGAGCTATTAAAAATAGATTGTGGTAGCTGAGAAAAGTGGAAATAAAATAAATACAAGTAGAATACTTACAAACAGTACAAATATTAGATTAAAAACATAAAAGAACTTCAAAGGGAAATTAGAAATGTTGCTTTGGCAACAAACTGAAGTAAATTTAAGCTGAAACTGAAATAATAATAAATTAAAGCTATATATAAATATTTAAAAAAAGGACAAAAGCACATAGTAAAATTACTAACATTTAAATTAACACGAAAATGAAAACTGAAAATATAAAAATAAATGCTAATTCAAAATTTTAATAAATACTACAGTCTATAAGTAATACTAAAATAACACCGCTTCAGGAGCATAATCAGATTAAGTAAATTATCTTAGAAATTATTATTTGTGTTTATTTCCGTATTACTGCATATAGTAGCCTGTCCAAAATTTGAAATGTAGCAATGAAATGGGCAACAAATGGAGAGATTTGATTGAGAATGAATGGAAGCAAATGCTTACGTTCAACTAACAAGAGAAATCTATCTTTTTTTATTAGTTAAAAATATCTAGAGCAGAGAAAGGTGTATCTTTTTGATCTCTCTTTTTTTGGGGGAATATATATGACTGTTTAAATAAAAGAAAAAAATATATTCTTGAAATGTGGAATGAAGTGTTTGGACATGTCAGTCTCTAATTGTATCATACATTATCCACCAGAACATTGTAATATATATTAGCTTATATCACGCGTACTTAAAGGCAGAGTAAGTGATTTCTGGTAGCCAATGTTAATATTTGAAATCACCAAAACAAACACGCCCCTACCCCAAAAGGGTCTTGTCCCTATTTTGATAGCTCCGCCCCACATATACGTACGCAACCCAGGCAACGATTAGTTCTGTGAAACAAAGCAAAACCAATGTTACACAGTGTCTACGGACGTGAGCGGCGCGGCGCAACAAATCCCCGACAGAAAACTGCTGCCGGGTTCTATTTATGACGTGCTGACACACATTTCAAATGGTTTTCAACGGTCGTTTGATCGCGTCCAGTGTAGGCAGACTTTAGCTGTTGTAGACACGGTGTTACTCACCTATTGAGAAGAAACAAAGCAACCTCGGCGTCCGATCGCAGGCCTCCGCTCCTTGAGTTCTCTCCAGCGCTGGAAAGCTGATCCGATATTTACACGGGTCCTACTTCTTGCCTTATCGTTCCGCAGACGTTTTCCTCTTTTGTTTTTTATCCGCCATCTCTATCTTTCTGTCGCTCGGCTCGGCTAATGTCCGTCCCATGCACTGAACGCGCTCTCCTCCACATCACGAGTAGACACGCCCCTTATTGCTGATTGGCTACAAGTTTGTTTTGCCATTCGGCCCGAATCAGTTTTCTAAAGTGTTTTTGAAAAATCACATACCCTGCCTTTAAGTATATGAGTGTGCATGATATAAATGTAAGGGTTTGGTTTGGGTGTTGTTGACTCTGTCTCTGTCTCTGTTTCTGATGTCAGTGTGTCCAGCTGGATGGAAGCCTGGCAGTGATACGGTAAGATTTCAGTGTGTGTGTGTATTCGGTGTATGATCACAGGTTACAGTATCTCTGTATTTCTCCTCTTTCCGCACAGATTATCCCAGACCCTTCAGGCAAACTCAAGTACTTTGATAAACTCAACTGAGCGTAATGCTTCACTACACGTTTGTTCTGATGAATGTTTTTGAAACGCAGAATAAAAGGAGAGTTTTGATAATCATGTAGTTTTGTTTCGTCCCTGCAGTGTGTGTCTTATTGTTTGTGTGTCTGTAAAAGAAAATGCAATCGAAATTAATGAAATGTTAAAAGCAGCAGAAATTTTTTATTGAGATTGTCTAGAAAGCTGCACTGCAAAAATGACTTTCCTCCTTTGTATTTTTGACTTGTTTTCCAGTACAAATATCTGAATACTTTAAAATCAAGATACGTTTACAAGCAAAATGACAAGTCTTGGTTTAAAAAAAAAAAAAATTTTTTTTGTTTGTTTTTTCTTAAAACAAGGGGGAAAAAATGCCAATAGAGTATTAAAAATAATGTTGTTTTTGCCTTTAAATTAGGTTTATTTTTCTGACCACATGGCTGATTTTTTTTCTTGTTTTAAGCATAAACTAGCTTCATTGTGATGTTTTTTTTTGTTGTTGTTTTTTTTTTTAAACAAAGACATTATTTTTCTTATCATGTTATTTTTCTTTAAGAATGTTTAGATATTTGTACTGGAAAAGTAAACAAAATTGTCAAGTAAAAAAATTGAAAACATTTTGAAAATTGAAAAAAAAAAACTTAAAAAAACACAATTTTATGTTATTAGAGATATTAGTATCAGAGTTATTCTAGTAAACTAAAACCCATAACTTTTGTTAGCTTAAATAAACATTAACTGAAATAATATAAGTTTGTTTTCTCAATATTTAACTTGTTAAATATTTATATATTAATATTCATATTTAACTAAGTTCATGTACTTAAACTAAAACTGAAATAAAACTAATAAAAACTATAGAAATATTAAATAATGACAAATTACAAACATTTTAAAATGAAAATCAAAAATTTCACTGATGTGTAAAAACTATAGAAAAACAGCCAGAAACCTTGGTCTAACACTAGCTTGCTCTATTCTTTTTCTATTTTATCGTTTTTCTTTTTATTTATTATATAATTAACAAAAACACCTTGCTACGTGTACTATGTTAACCTAACTGAGACTTGTTATAGCACTTGCACATCATTGCTCTTTTGTTGATTCTGATTGCTTCCATTGTCCTCATTTGTAAGTCGCTTTGGATAAAAGCGTCTGCTAAATGACTAAATGTAAAATGGTTTTAAATCTATTAACTCTACAGAATGCTATCTAAAACACTAATGGAAATCTGTCCCAACTATGTCTATAGTTTTGAATCATTAGCAATGGAAATTCATTGGTCGAAGTTGTGAGAATCCTGAATCTACAAACATGCATAAATGAACCGATTAGTCTGACACTAGATGGCGATGTAGAATCAGCTTTTATAGCACAACCCCAACAAAACAAAGATGTTTGTGTGAAAAATCAACAGTGTCATGCTTTGCAGCTGCTGTCACTTTGAAACTGAGACTAAATTACAATCGTGAAGTGACGGGACTGTTTTTAAGGAAAGGCCTGTTTTACTGCGAACATGCACAGCTGCAATAACAGTGTCACGCTGCTAAAGACTAGATACGGCTGTTTCTTGACCCCGTCCCAGACAGATGTTAAGGCCAAAGTGCAAACGGATGAACTGCTAGACAATAAAGCTATGCATGTGGGACTATGCAACTATTGATTGCAATTTCAGTGTTATTAAATCTTGAGCTTCAAATGATCTTTTTTAGAAATGTACTCCAAGATATAATTATGTAATATCAGGGTTTCCACAGTCATAACATCTGTAAATGTCAAGAAAATTTGTGATTTTAGCCTATAGAGAAATAATTGAATTGAATCAAATCGTAAAGTCTTGAATGTTTCTGTAATGAATATAATTTTTTTTTCTATTTTCATCGAGTAGGAATTGTATTTTTCTGCATAAAATCGTTTATAAGTTGCATATTTAAAATGCTAAAATCCTCACTCCAGTAAGCACATACTTAATCAATCGATCATGAGGTACAGGAACCTTGTAATACTTCAGATCTTTTTACAGTGTAGAAAAAAGACTACATTTCTCAAAGTGTTTAAATGGTATTTCAGATCCTTTTGCATTCTAGGACAAAGCCAGGTGAGGATAAATGTAAACAAACTGCTGAATTTGCAGAAGTGTGCCATTTTTTTGTCTTGTTTTTGCAGCACTGCTGAAAATGAATATAGATCTGTGTAAACGTTTGCTCCCCAGAGAGCAGATTTTACTGTAATAGTCTGTGTTTTTGTATATGCACTATGCAGCAAATGTCAGTCACATGTTCGGGTCAAAGGTGTGGTGCTAAAACTCTGGAAAGTTTTCCATGAATGCTGTCAGTGTCACGTGTCAAAAAAAATGGACAAATCAGCATTTAAAGTCACTCAGGGCAGGACATTCTGTTGTAATATTAGCTATATTATTAATACATTAATATGTCATCCAGTTGCATGTGCAAATAGTTTTCCATCATCCGCACCCATTCAATTGTTATTTTTAAGATGTTTTTGTGTGAAGCGTATAAGAAAAAAACATTTCCAGATTCCACAGCAAGGACTGTGATACCTGTGCAGTTGATGTCACTGATGAATATCCAGATGCTGTGCTTTATTTAGACTTTTGCGAAAAGTGTAGTTTTCATCAAACCAACTGTAAGTCGAGTTGTGTTGACGATACACAAGAGCACGTCGTGGCAAACTCATGGCAAAACAGTCCACATGGTCAACTTCCTCATGCATGAAGTTTATGTATAAAATCACAGGCAGGTTTCCCTCAATCATCAGAGTTGTATTCATATTCATGATGCATGATGACTTTTAAACCTTTTGTTTCAGTATTTTTGAGAAAGTGACGCATCGACTTTATAGGTTTTGACTTTTATTACTTTTATGACTATTATTTATAATTTATTTATACTGTTCATTTATATTAGTATTATTTATTTTTTATTATTTGATTTATTCATTATATGTTTTTATATTTATATTAGTTTGAATTCATATTATTTATAATTTATCATTATTTTATTTCATTTATACTATTATTTATTTATAATATTTATATCGTTACTTTTATTGGTATTATTTATAGTATTTAATATTTGTGTTTTATTTTTTTATTATCTCTTTTATTGAGTGATATTTGACTATTTTGTGATTTTTTTTTTTTTAATTAGATTTGCTTGTTTAAAAAATACAAATATGCATTGACTTTCTAGGTTTTGGCCTTCCTACTATTACTTTTACCACTAACGTTCACAATTTATCTATACTATTGTTATTATTATTATCATTATTATTATTTCACTCTTTTATTGAGTGATATTTGACTATTTTGTGATTTTTTTTTTTTAAATTAGATTTGCTTGTTTAAAAAATACAAATATGCATTGACTTTCTAGGTTTTGGCCTTCCTACTATTACTTTTACCACTAACGTTCACAATTTATCTATACTATTGTTATTATTATTATCATTATTATTATTTCATTATTCATTTTATATTTCTATATTTATATGATTACTTATATTGCTATTTATATTATTTATGAAAAAATTTTTTTTTATAATTCTTATGATATTAATTAAATAATGTTTGACTTTTTTGTAATTATATAAACCACTTGTTGATTAGCAGAAGTGTCATTAGTAAAAGCTGCCGACAGCCTTGTCAGTTATTTATTGCTGAATTTCTTTTTCCAATTTTTGTGAATTTTGACGTTTATTTTCATGCACATTTTTATGTTTTTGTCAATAAAGTGTATTATGTATTTATCGGCATATCAGCCAACAGCCAGTCTGCTTTCTAGATATGCATATAGGCCTCTATGCATTATAGAATAATATAATTGTCAAATATTCAATCAGTGTGTGCAGTTGTAATTGCATTGCCCACAATTTGTTAGATTGCATAAGCAAATTCAAAGGTCTGCTTTATTTGGTTTATCAGGATCCTTATGTCTACAGGACGTGACCTTTGCATGATCTGCAGTTTGAAAGTGAAGTACATAAACCGTGTCGATCCTTCCAGAACGATAAACATTAACCCATGCTGCTCTGAGTGAACAAACAGGCCACTGTTTTCAGGAAGGACCCGATGCACAGCAGGTTTTCTGGGAGTGGCCTGAAGGTTTCTGAGCATCAATAAAAGGAGGAACGGCGCAGCTTTGAGCCCAGAGGACGCTTCATCACACCAGCCACTGGATGCCTTTCCAAGCAGGAGAAAGCTGATCTCAGGCCTGTAGCTGAGGCTGAACCCCTGAGAAGCGGATGAAGAAACAAATCTTACTACGTTTCACATACAGAGGACTAGTCAGCAAAGGAAAAAAGAGCAAAAGAAGAAAATGGCCAGTTTTATATTACGGAAAGCCTCAGGCAGTTTAAAGCTGTGTAGCTACACTGTAAAAATTATTTTTTAAATATTTTTTTATATTAAATTAAGTAAATTAAGATTGTTCTTTCTACATCAAAATGTCATGTTTAATTCAATGTGTTACTTGCTATTTCTTTATAATTGTGAAACTTACTAGCAAATTGAGAAGCGGATGAAGAAACAAATCTTGCTACGTTTCACATACAGAGGACTAGTCAGCAAAGGAAAAAAGAGCAAAAGAAGAAAATGGCCAGTTTTATATTACGGAAAGCCGAGCCCAAGGACGTGTCTGACATACTGCGACTCATAAAGGTATGAAATTCAGTTTGATTGATGCTATTTAAGGCATTTTAAAGCTGTGTAGCTACACCATAAAAATGATTTTTAGAAGTTATAAATAAAGATTATTGGAGTATTTCAGTTTTACTTTAATTAAATGTGTAACTTGCAGTTTCTTTGTAGTTTTAATTATATA